CAAATCTATTTGTATGTGGTTGAAAAATATCAAAAATCGAATCTCGTTGTAATATACTTCCACTGATGAATACAGCTTAATATAGTGCGTCAGTTATTTAATTTTTCTTAATTCCGAATACATCTCAGTTTACTACCTTTATGTAAAACTCATATTTGCATATTTGAAGGTCTAACCACCTTGAAAGGTTTAAATTTGAATTTTTAATAAATTTGAATTCCCAAAAGAGCAAACAAACGGGATTCGACAGTATTTTTCTTTCCTCAAAAGAAAAACAAATAAAATTATCATAAAAACCACAAAAATCCCAATTTGAGTAAAATACTAATAAAATTTTATTTTGGCAATTTTTCCATATTTTTTTTTCTTTATTTGATCAATTTTTAAACCTTTCATGGCGGTTAGACCTTCAAAATAAATAAATAATATTTATTTATTTTAGACAACATTCGGCCACCTCCAAATAGATTATTGGGGGAGGGAAGAGGGTCGTTAACGCGCACTTTTATTGTCTTTTTATTTTATTTTCTTTTAAACAATTTCCCGATTTTTTCTTTGCTTTTCTTCTGGTATTGCTAAACAGAAAAAGGGGAAAATGTGAAAAGAACATTAAAAGGTAAATATGAGAACGTCTGAGTCTAGGCCCTATAACTCAAGAAGGGATCAGCTTTTTTGAAAAATTTAAGCATTGTTGGATAGAGGAGAAAATTGGCTATAAAATGGTATATGGAGCTAAACTGGAACTTTCCAAATAAAAAAGTTATAGGCAAAAAACTAGACGTGGATTGGAGGGGTAGTTATAGTTATTTGGAAATTTTTTAACCAGAACTTTTTCTGAAAAAAATTTTTCTGAAAAATTTAAGCACCGTTGGATAGAGGAGAAAATTAGCTATAAAATGATATATGAAGCAAAACGGAAGCTTTTCAAATAAAAAAGTTATAGGCGAAAAACTAGACGTGGGTTGGAAGGGTATTTATTGTTATTCCCAAGTTCTTTGCCTACAACTTTTTCTGATTAATAAATTAAAATTCTGATTTTAGGTGTATTTTGTAGCCAATTCAATTTACTATCTAATGAGATAAAATTTTTATAAAAAATTCTAAGACTCAACGGAATAGCAATAAAAAAAGAGAAGGTCAACAACGATTGTGAAAATCGTGGTCTTTGCGTTCCGTAAAATTTTATTATTGGCTATAATAAAGATTGGAGCAATAATGATTTAAAGAGAGGAAAGTGTTCGAGAGCGGCGGCCATAAATGAGATTTTTTGGGGAAATGGAGAATTAGTGCTTTTTATTTTTGAGCAGATGGGAATGGTAAAATAAAGAAAATTTTGAAAAGTAGGGATCAAAATCAAAAAATTTATTTAAAATATCTGGTACAAGTAAAGAACATTTCCGATTGATAAATCTTTCCCCTAACTTTTAGAGAAATTTAGGAGGGGCAGCAGAATCTTAGATCCCCCTTCAGGAATGAATTTAGTTGACTATTGTAGGAAGGTCTAGGCTTTATAACTAACAAGGGGTCTTTGTACTTTTCTTGAAAATTTAAGTACCGTTTGATAGAGGATAAAATCTGCTTCAGGTATTATAAGAAAGGGTTTCTGAAAGGTTAATTATGGAAGGAGACTGTTAGAAGGACTCGACTTTATTTGGACTTAATAAATCAGATCCTTCCGACTATTAATTTACAATAAAAATCATTTTTAAGTAAAATATGTAAAAGAAAAATTAGAAAAAATAAAAAATAAAAATAATGTCAAAAGTTAGGGCCCTTTTTCCACTTCTTCGATTTATTTGATCGACTGCGCGAAAGCAACGAGAATAATAGAAAATAATGTCTCGAGAATGCTTTATTTATTTAATATTATCGCCTCAAAATAAAGAAAAAAATATTAGAAATGGCTAGTAGCCTTTTAATAAAAATATTATTAGATAGACTAGCCTCTCACCCATAGCGTGAACAAACAAACAGAAAAAAATTTTTGAGGTTATGAAGTGAAAAGTATTGAGATATTGAGTAGGGATAGAGGTTAATAACTCAAAAAAAGTCTTGAATGGGGGTTGTTTTTGTTAGAAAACTCGAAATAAAATAACTGGGAATAAATTGGGAATAAAATCATTATTTAAATTCCGGAAAATAAATAGATGTTTCCGGAATCAGTTAGAGAAGTAAAGACTTGTCTCTCAATTCAGTTAAGTCTCTGCTATAATACTAGAAATAAAATAAACTTTCCGGAAAGTTTAATTAAAAATTTAATTAAAATTAACTCCCTGAGACGTTCCCTATTCTATTCCGTAAGGAAATATAAACTATAAATATATTTCCAGAAAATAAAAAATACTTCCGGAATCAGTTAGAAAAGTGAAGATAAAACTAAAAATAATATAAATTTTCCGGAAGAGTTCAATTAAATTTAAATTCCTGAAAGATTCCCCTTCTCTATTCCGGAAAGGAAATAAACTTACCTAAATATATTTCCGGAAAGAACACAAAAGAAATTATTTATATTTTAGAGGTCTACAATGATTCCGGAAAATTATATATTTATTTTCCGGAAGAGTCAATTAAAAAATAGTTTTTCAGAAATTTGTTTCTTGAAATAAATACTTCTCTTTTACAATTTTTAAAAATATCTAAAAAATATTTTTGGAGGATTAAAGGCATGGGAATGTAACTCTACTACTAAATTTAGTGGAAGAATAAAATAAAAATGGAATTCTTAGAAAGTAACTGGCAACCGTCCCCAAGGGTTTTTGGCTTATTTTTATTTTTTCTTCCTTACAACAATCCCATTTTTCAATTTGAGTTTGAGTGCAAGGATGGAGAGGGGGGGGGGGGGGTTCTTTTTGTATTGAAAAAAATATTTTTTGAGAGCAAAGTGAAATAAGTAGGAAATAGGGGAAGGGACCACTTATTAAATAAAAATAAGAAAATTTGTTTTTTTACAATATTGGAAATTGAAAATAAAAAATATTGGTTCCTTTAGCAGTTAATTTTAATGAAATTGCTAGTTCTGAAAAATGTTGCTATATTTTTATGCACTAAAATTTAATCAGAATTATTAAAAAATACATACCCAACTAGAATTATAAAAAATCAGAATGTAGGGGATAACTTAAAAACAAAAAACAAAAATCAGAATTATGTATTAATTACTAAAATTAATTCTGATTTTTGTGTTTTATTTTTAGTTATTTTCGCTTAATTCTGATTCTGTATTTTTGTATTTTTTTAGTTGGGTATGTATTTTTTAATTCTGATTTTTGTGTTTTAGCCTTCCTATTAATTAATTCTTGCCTAAAATAATAATTCTGATTTTTGTATTTTTGTTTCTGAATTCTGATTTTCCTACAAATTTTTTTCACAACAATAATTCTGATTTTTTGTATATTTAATTTTAAAATTCTGATTTTTATTTAAGTTAATTCTGAATTAATTCTGATTTTTATTAATTCTTAATTGTAATTACAAATTATAAAAATTAAATTATAAAATTGTGAAAACAAAACAATTAAATTCTGAGGTTATTAAATGACAAAAAAGTTTCGTGCAGTCTTTTTGGAGATTTTGTTAACATTTTTTTCTTTTCTTAAAAAATTATAAAAATTAATTTTAAAAAATTCTAAATTTTCTACCCCTGATATTATTAAACATTTCATTTGCTTGAAGTTCACATTGTTCTGAACGTTGTTTTAGCCTTTGCTTTTCTTGTTGGATGCGGCGAGGCAATCCAGACAAATTTATTTGTTGCTGACAACTTTTAAGAGAAAAATAATTGTTGTTTTTAAATACAGACTGGCTTTACTTGTGGATACACCCAATACTAGATAAAAGGTTAAGGGGTTGCGGATATCCGCATCCGAAAAAATTCAGAATATCTAAAGATTTCCTAGGATTCGCCAACTCTACTAAAGCATCTTTTAATTTATTATACGTTTTTTCTTAAAATTTGACTGGCTTTCGTTTAGGCTCTCCTTACTTATTAATGAGAGCCTAAACGATTCCCTTCCAATTAAGACAGACTCACACTATAATATAATTGTTCCCTAGGGTGTCCTGATAATGAGTTCCGACTGTTTAAAATATTCAATCTTACATTTTTTCACTAAAACTACCTTTCTAAATTAGAGCAACACTTTCCTAAATTTTGACAGTGTTGTTGTACCCTAACGAATTGTTCTGGGCAATTAAGTTGAGGAGGAAGGGGTGTTAGTACAGGCCAGTTTTGATTACATTGAGGAGATCCCTAAAAAATCAAAAAAAAATTTTTTTAATTTTTACTATCCAAAAACACCTTTATTGTCTTAACATTTTTCTCATTTTTTAAGGAACTTTCAACACATTTTACTGTTTCCCTTTCCAATTCATTTGTTGCCATTTCAACACGTTTAAATAAAGGCAGTAAACGTGAATTACACCTTTCCGATGCTGAACGTCTTCTTTTTTGTTTATTTTTATTTTTTGATTCGAATAAAGGAAATAGAGAATCGGAAGGACAATTTGAAGATTTAAGTTGTTCCAAATAATTTTTACAACTAATAAAAAGATGGCAGTGGTTGAGATTAAGGCCAAGTCTTTGTGAATCCTGAAATGAAGAAAAGGAGATCTATTTATTCGAAGAAATCGTCGAGATGAGTACCCGGAAACAGTTTAAAGCCTTTTGAACATACAAAAATCATGGTCTCCCTCGATTAGAAATGTAATTGCGAATGGTCATAACCAAAGCCTTTCCAAACTTTTCAATAAGTTCAGAATCTGAACTGACTCTAGGTCAGATAACGTTGACTTAGCTCAACGAGCTCTTTCGTCAAAAAATGCAACCTGAAACTAGAGAACAGACTGGGAGTCTCGACGAAAATCGTACGGGATGTCTCAAAAAGCCTGCTCTCGATAAGGTCAATTTTAATATTTTTTTAAATAATTTTAAATTTTCCAAATTTTACAGAAAAAATTTTTTTCCTTTAAAATTTGTATGCTAGTAACTCGAAAGGCTCCAATTAAATTAAAATTAAATTCACCTCCTTAGAATAAAAAAGAATTTTTGGGGGTTCAATAAATCTCTTCTGTTTATTATTCTCTTTAATTTCCTCTTTCTTTTTATTTTTCAAAAACTTTTCCAAATTTTTAATTAAAGCGTGTCTCAAATGTTCCAATTCTTCTCTACTACTAATTAATTTATTTGGCAAATTATTTATTTTTTGATTTTTTGACAAATTTTTAGACGATTTTTTGGGCAATTCTTTCGAATTTTTTGTTGTTATTATTGTTTTTGCTGCGGCCAAATGGAAATGATTTTTTGTTAAATTAACTGAAGAAAGGGAAGAAAAAGGCAAAATTGTTTGGTTGTTAAAGCTATGTTTGGTTGATTCTAAGGTAATTTCAACACGTCTTTTAGGCGTCTAAAAACATGTTTTTAACAACAAAAACATTTAAATATTACCTCTAATTGTTTCATTACTGTCTGTCCAGAATGACGAACAACATTTGTTTTTGTTTTAATGTTTTGTTTAGGTTGTGTTTTAGGCGATAATGTTGTTGTTGTTGTTTTCTGATGTTTTTTGTTTGTGTGTGTTGACGGTGAAGTTAACAACTTTAAATGAAAGGGGATTAGAACTTTCCGGAAAGAGTATAATTTATAAAATAATTTTCCGGAAAAGAAGTATTTTAATATAAAATTCCGGAAAGAGAAACATAATAATAAAGTTTTTCCGGAAAAATATATCGCATTATAAAAATTCCGGAAAGAATTATAGTTAATACAACCTTTTCCGGAACAATATATAATTCCGGAAAGAATAATATAAATATTACGAAACTTTTCCGGAATAACATACCTATATATATATAATTAATAAACTTTTCCGGAAAAAGTATATTTACATTATAAAAATTCCGGAAAGAATATATAATTAATACAACCTTATCCGGAACAATATAGGTATAATTCCGGAAAGAATAATATAGTTAATAAAACTTTTTTAGTTAATAAAAGTTAATAAACTTTTCCGGAACAAAATATACATATACATATACTTCCGGAAAGAATAATATAAATATTATGGTCTTTTTCCGGAACAATTACATATACATATAATTAATAAACACCTTCCGGAAAGGCTGTTATGAATAAATATTCTATTTATTCTGCATAAAATATTATATAATTCTCAACTTTCCGGAAAGTTTTACTTTAAAAATACACAAACTCCATTTTTCTGTGTAAAAGGTACAAGCACATCAATATCCTCCCAACTTTTAGGATCAATCACAGTCTCTGTACTCGACTTATCCTCTTCATTTTCTTTCTTTTTTAATTTTGTTTTCATTGTAGTGGTAAGTTCTAATCTTTTTTTAGTCCAGATTTGGGTAAATTTCATATTATAGAGGGAAGTTGGGGGTGATGTTAAGGAAGGGGGAGAATAAGAGAACAATTTTGTTTTTTCTGAGGGTGTTGTTTTTGCTATCGGAGGTGCTGAGGAAGATATTTTTGAATTTTTTACATTTTTATTATTACTATTTTTGGTAACATTTGATTTTATTACTCCATTTATCACCCCGAAAGCCTTAAAAAATTTTTTTAATAAAGAAAATTAATTAGAAAATAGCACCTTTGCAGAAAGTGCTGCTTGTTGTTTTTTAATTTTTTCTCTAGCTGCATTTGCTGCATTCAGTAGACGCCAAGATTCAAGTTTGGCAAGATGAGGACGTGCAGCTAGAATCTGGACAAGAAAACCGGCTATGTTAATTTCAATTAGGTATATTTTCGAGTATTTTCTTTCCGGAAAGTATTAATTTATATAGCCATTCCGGAAAGTATAATCTAGAAAAATTTAATTTATACATATTTTCCGGATTTTTTATTTTCTTTCCGGAATGTATTCTGTTAAGTTTTCTCTCAAATTTTTCCGGAAAGTATTAATTTATATTCCCTTTCCGGAATGTTTTATTGTATCTTTTATGTTGTCTAACTCACCCCCATTTCCGTTAAATTAACCCATGAAGGAAGCGCAAATGATTTTCTAGCCCCAAACTTGTCTAAAACTTTGTTATTCCCAACAATTTGTTTAATAGCCGCTGCCGTTTTTCTTTGTTGTTGTACTCGTCTAGTTGCTGGGAAAATTCCTTTGGGTTGGTGATCAGCCATATATTGGGAAGGGCGATTGGGGAAATTTTGGGAAAATGTGGACATCCATTCTGGGGGGCCTTAAAAATTAAAAAAATTTTAAAATTAAAAATCTGAATTGCCCGAGGGTATATCTATATCATTTTCTGTCCCTGTATTAGTCATTACTCGCAATAATCTAGCTAAACGGCGACGCTCTTTTTCCAAATTTTTTGCAAATTCAATTTGTTCTTTGTTTTTATTATTTTTTGACTTTGTTGTTGTTGTTGTTGCTGATGTAGTGGTTGTTGTGGTTGTAGTTAAGTAATCAGTGGAGAACTCGTTAGATTCAGAAGGCGTTGGGTTTCGCACGAGTACATTCTTTAATTAATTTTTGTGTTTAAATTTAGTGGAAATTTATATTCTCGTTCCGGAAAAGTTAAATTTATACATTTTCAGGATTTTTCTATTCCCTTTCCGGAAAATATTAATTTATTCTATCCACGTTCCTTTAGCGAATTTTTAAATTAAAACTTTCCGGAAAATTGAAAATTATATTTCATAACAGCAAATAGAATATCTTATTTATAACAGCCTTTCCGGAAAGTTTTTATAGATTATCTAATTCTTCCGGAAAAGGTAATATTTATATTATTCCTTCAGGAATTATATATTGTTCCGGAAAAGTTTGTATTAACTATATGTTCTTTCCGGAATTTTTATAATGTAAATATACTTTTTCCGGATAAAGTTTAGTAATTATATGTATATAAGTATGTTGTTCAGGAAAAGGTCCATAATATTTATATTATTCTTTCCGGAATTATATATTGTTCCGGAAAAGGTATTAACTATATATTCTTTCCGGAATTTTTATAATGTAAATATACTTTTCCGGAAAAAGTTTATTATGTTTCTCTTTCCGGAATTTTATATTAAAACATGTAACTTTTACGGAAAAGTCTATTAACCATATTCTTTCCGGAATGATTTTCCCCCGGGGGAATGGGTACAAATCACCTTTCCCCCAATGGCGTTGTCCTCCTGAATATTTTACCCCAATACGCACCCGAAAAGTACCCTTACGTATAAAATATTTTTTAAAAAACAAAGTCCCACCTCAATATCTATTTTATTTCCATAGGGAATTATTTGTTGTTTTTTAATAGGGAAAAGATGTGAGGCTGGAATTGAGCCTACCCCAGCTACCACAACTTGTGTTGGTGATAATTCTTTATCTTTTATTGAATGTTTTTTGTTTCTATTTATTTTTTGAAGACAAGAACGCATTTTTCTTTTAGAAGAGATTCGCCGTTTGTGACGAAGTTGGACACTAAATTCATTTTCTTGGTTTAGAAGATGAAGGCAACTAAAGGAATGAAAAAGTAATAGAAATAATGGTGCTTTAAAATGACTGAAAAAAGACTTAATAGAATCTACCTATGAAGGGCCGAGCTAGAGCCAATTGATCTCAGGATTTATCCCTACAAGTACTGACATTAAAATTTATCACATCTTATCACAATACCTCCTATCTATTTCAGACACGGACACTAATCCGGGGTTTGCTTGGCTGCTCCTAAAAATATTTTATAAAGTTCACCTCAGTTTAGCATGATTTCCTTGATTTTGAAGTTGCACTCGTCTCCGCTCACAGGCCAGAAATTGTTTACAACTGTTATGTTTGTTATTGGAGGTATCAAAATCTACCTCAACAATATCTTGCTGATTTTGCTGGAATATTTACTATAAGCCGGACTATAAGATACCCCCTAAGATAGGAAAATCGTATTTTATAACGATTGGTACTTTACATTGGGAGTTTCGATCAGGCAACCCTCCCCCCTCATTTAGTAGCCAATTAAGCTTCAAAAAGCGTATCTTAAGAAAGTAAGGGTTCTTTTAGATGGAGACCTTATACATAATGAGGTGTAGTTTAAATAGAGGGTACCTTCATTAAAGATCGGTATTTTCAAAAATCCTGGATCTGGATTTAGGTTAGTAACTTGGACAGGATTCTGGATCCAGAAAAAATCCAGGACGTTCAAAAAATGCCTGGATCTGGACTTTGGATCCAGGAAAAATCCAGATTGGATCCAGATCTAGACCGATCTCCAGTGGCATCAAAATTTAAAAAAAAGTATAGCGATCGGATTCAGATGCATCTTATAGTGAGGGGAGTTCTTTATTAACCATTTTTCAACCTACTTTTCCTCTAAAACCAAGTTTCATTTCATCACAAACAACAAGTGTCGAACAATACAAAAATAATGAAATCAGAATAAAAAGTTTGAATAAAATAAAATAATTTTGGCATTTTGTATTAAAAAATTTTAAAAATGACATTTTGTCCTATTTTGAGGGTAAAGGCTTTCCTCAAAAAATTTTTTTTAATTAAGCCAATTTAAGTTTTCACACCTTTTGATTGTTTTGATAGGTTAATGAGGCGAATAATAAATATTTTGATGTATTTGAATAGAAGTTGGGGAAGGGATTCTCTCTTAATTTTTAATTAGAAAAGGGGAGGAGAGTCAAGATCTGGAAATCTTTTTAAAAAAATATTTTTTGAAGACACAAAACCTGTTCAAAATCTCTCTCCTCTTCCTTTTCAAGAAGAATTTCAGGTGTTTTGGAGAATTAAAAGAAAAATTAAAAAAAGAAATTAAAAGAGAGGACATTTGATCCCATTTTCGGGTTAAATTGTCGTTCCGGAAGAAGATTTTTATTAAATATAAAAAATAACAAAGACTTAAAAACAAAAAGAGGAGCTCTTCATAAATACGAGAATTAACTACTCTCCCTTCTTTCTTCAACTCCTCTTTATTTGGAACTTTTTTAATATTTTTAGATTCAAATCTATTTATGAACAAACGAGTTAATTTTTTTTATTTTTTCGTTTTTAAACCTGAATTTTGAACTAATTCTAATTTTTTATATAATAAATCATTTTTAATATTTTTTTGTTAAAAAATTCCATGTCAAATAGGACACGAAAAATTTCAAAACGTCAAGTAACAAAAAATCGAAAGATTCTGATTTGTTTTCCCTAGTTCATTTAATGTTTTTATTAAATTCTGATTTTTTGATTGTCTTAATTGCTTTCAGTTATTCTGATATTTTGTTATTATTATGTTGAATGTTTTTGTCGTAATGTTCTGATTTTGTTGTATTTTTGTATTTTTCTGATTTTTGTATTTTGTGTTTATTTCAGAATTTTAATTTTGAATTCTGGTTTTTCTTTTTTTTTGGGTTTTATTGTGTATTTTTTTTATTCTGGTTTTACTCATGTGTTTGTAAATTCTGTTTTTAAATGTTTTTATTCTGATTTTTGTATTTTCGGAATGTTCTGATTTTCTGTATTTTCCGGAATATTCTGATTTTTTGTATTTTCCGGAATTTTTAGTGTATCCCCTTCTTATTCTATTCTGATTTAAGTAATCCTGATTTTATGTGTTTGCAAATTATGATTGTTAGTATTTTAAATTCTGATTTTATATTTTTAATAATTTTATTCTGAAGTGTTTATTTCTTGTTGTAATTCTGATTTTCTTTTTGTAAATTCTGATTGTAAATTTAATTTCTAATTCTATTTATTCTAAGTTTTAATTCTGATTTTTTATTAAAGTTCGACTAGATTATTTTTCTGATTTTTTGTCTTTCTTATTAATGAGTCCGGAAATTTTTATTTTTAATTTTAAACAGAAAAATTCTGATTTTTAATGTGAAACAAAAGTTGTCAAATTTCAACAAACTTTTATTACAACTACAGAAAAATAATATTATCACAGGTATATATTTAAAGACGAATACAATAATTTATAGGAAAATAATTATATTTATTTTTGGGGGAGGGATTTTCTGTTTTCTGATTTTCTGTTTCTTATTAAAGAATCCGGAAATTTGTATTTTTAATTTAAACAGAAAAATTTTGATTTTTAATGAGAAACAGAAAGCTGTCAAGTTTCAATAAACTTTTATTACAACTACAGAAAAATAATGATTATCACAGGCAAATACAATAATTTATAGGAAAATATTTATATTTATTTTTGGGGGAGGAGATACCTATTTTTTTGTTTATTTTGGTGAAATATCCTATCCAAATCTTTTCTTCTTCTCACTCTTCCTAATTTTCTTCTTCTTCTTTGCTTCTTCTGCCGCCTTCCAGTTAATTTCCGCCGGTTCGTGAACAACACTCTTCTTCTTCTGCTGATCAGTCTTAAAAAGGAAACAAAAAATTTCAGTTTAAAATTCATTTTTCGACTCACTTCCTCAGCCCATCCTTCATTTGGTTCCTCTGTTCCAGCCAAACTTTCACCCGTCTTCAAGATCTCAATAGCAGTATTATCATCATCCTCCAACAAATCGCTGTCCCTTTCGAGGCTCAAAAGATCCGAATTATATTGAGAATTTTTGTTCATACTCGAGGAATTGGTGTTTTTAGATGAAGTTGGTTGATTATAGTATTTCTGAAAGAGAGAGGAAATTTTTGGATTTTTAAAAGAATTTACACTCACGTTCTTCCTTTGCCTCCTCATTCGTGCCATGTTGCAGGCACATCTAGCATAAGCATCTTGGCGACGAGCCTCCCTCCGATGTTCTTCTTTGCGTTCCTCAATCCTCCTTCGGTTTCTCTTCTTCAGGTGGTTGTAGTAACAGTTGATGATTGAAGTGATAAGAAGAAGGCCAATGAAGATTAAGATTGGAATTAAGTAGTGGATGTATGGAGGCGTCTGGTAGATTGTATAAGTATCCATGTGGTAGACCATAACTTTGAAGCAGCCAGAAATTAGTGCAAGGAAGCTTGTCACAAAAAATCCCAGCCGAAGAATCAGCGCGATCTCTATATCGAGAAGTTCTCCACGAAGTAAGTATTGCTTGTCACTCTTTGTATAGTCAGCGGAGACATTAAAAAGACAATAGAGGCCACCAACAAATATAAAAAAAGCCACAATGAACGTAATCGTGGCAACGACTTTGAAGTTTCCAGAGCCAGGATCAGATGTGGTTGTTGCTTTAGGTGTTGTCGTGGTTTGAGGAGGTTTTTTCCTTGATGTTGAAGTCCTTTTAGTTTTGGTGATCCTGGTCTTTGTTGGCGGTAGTGGTGACGTTGTTGTTGCTAGAATTGGATCTTTTTGTCCCAGCAAAGTGTAGTCTTTTGTATTCTGAATAGAAAAAAGAAAAATTTTAGAAATTTTATAATAATTTGAAAATCCTTACAAATTTGATAAAAAGTTCATCACACTCTGGTCCTTTAGGAGATACCCTTATATTGCTTTCGTCACCACTGTTGATTCGCGCCGATTCTTGTGGAAGCATATGGAAGACAAGCAAGTTGATGTGATTCGATTTTGGCTTTGTCCCGTTGATTTTCCAAGTAACAGGCTCGGCTACGGATGTGTCGTTAGGGAGACAAAAAGCTTTTTTGCTCGATTCGGCATAGTCCATCTTCTGTCCACGAAAGTCCATCATGAAATCGCCATCCTCCGTTATAGTCAAATCGAAGGATAACTGTTTGGCTTTTGCGTCGAACTTCGTGCTGGTACTCCAAACGGCTAGAACTTCACCCACTAAAATAAAATTATCAAAGTAAGACAGACAATATTTATCCTTACTTGGATGGGCGTGAGCAAAGGATTTATCGTTACAGGTAGTCCACGCAGCTTCAAGAGAAGTCCACCTCATACACTCTGCCGACTTTCCACACTCAGGCTGATCATGACAATTTTCATCCTGATCATACAACGGTCCATTTACTTTCAACTTTGTGATGTTCTTGTCTCTTGTTGTGCTGTAGCCGAAGGGCAAACTAAAAATAAAATTTTAAGATATTATCCTCCCAAACAAAAGTAAACTTACAGATTGGCACTGCTTCCATTAAAAGGCAAATCTTCTGAAGAACATTTCCCCAGGCATTTTTCAATCCCTCCTTTGTTCTCCACACCAGTTTCCAACTTGATCATGTTGTGAAAACGCGAGAGCAAATCCACAGTGCAACCATTCTTCGCCGCTTTGCTTTCCTTTTTGTAGTGAAGCACGCTGAAAATGTCAAATTTATTTCAAAATTAGTTTGGAGGAGTTTACATGAAATTGCCTTCAAGAGTAACCTCACAGGCTCCAGGATGCTTCGTGTATAAACTAATGTTGTCCTTGTTGACTTCCTCGACTCGTTCGGCAAGAGTAACCATTTCATCCTTCAGCGTGTGATTGAAAAACCCAAAAGGATTCGTTGCTTCGGGAAGCTTAGTCGTGGTTGGTTCGGGAAGCTTAGTCGTGGTTGCCGTTGTTGTTGTTGATGGAGCGATGAAGTCTTCATTGGTCAACAAAATGTAGTTATCCGAATGCTAAATAGAAAAAGGGAAAGTTTGAGATTTTATAGGTGAAGATCCTTACAAATTTGATAGAAAGTTCATCACACTTTGGACCATCAGGAGGATCATCTTTTTTGATTTGTCCATCAATGTGTTTTCGAGATGCCTTTTGTGGAAGCATGTGGAAGACCAGCAAGTTCGTATCCGGAGGGCAACCATTCGAATTCAGCAGTGCTCCGTTGATTTTCCACGTGACAGGTTTGGCAATGCCTTCCTCTTTAGAGATGCAGAAAGCTCGATCCTCGGAATTGGAATAGTCCATTATTTCTCCATCAAAGTCCATTATGAAATTCCCATCCTTTGTTATATTCAAATTGAAAGACAATTCTGTATCATTTCTGTCGTAAATTTTATGCTGCCACCAATGTGCCTCAACTTCACCAACTAAAATAAAATTGTAAGATAAATAGTAATATACCATAACATACTTGGATGGGTGTGAGCATAGACTTTGTCTTTGTACTTGGTCCACGCAACTTCAAGAGAAGTCCACGGCATACATCTTCCACCATTATTATAACACCTCACTTTATCATGACATGTCAGGTTTTCTTTATAAATTGGTCCATTTGTTAATTCCATGATGTTCTTGTCTTCTGTTGTGCTGTAGGCGAAAGGCAAACTAAAATAAAAGGCATTTTATTAGGTTATCACTCTAACTAAAAACTTACAGATTGTCACTACTTCCGTGAAAAAATCCTGATCTTTTGCATTTCCCCAGGCATTTTTCAATCACATCGCTGTGCTTCACTTCGGTTGTGAAATAAATCATGTTCTGAAGATTGGTGAGCAAGTCCACAGTGCAACCATTCCTCGCCGCATTGCTTTCCCTTTTGTAGTGGAGCACGCTGAAAATGAGAAAATTTATTATAAGACTCACATCAAGGAAACTCACATAAAATTGCCTTCAAAAGTAACTTCACAGGCTCCAGAATGATTCGTGTACAATTCCAGATTGGTCTCGTTGACTTCTACGGTTCCCTCAGAAAGTGTAACCATTCCATCCTTCAGCGTGTGATTGAAAAACCCAACAGGGATTCCATCACCACCATCATCACCCTTAACCTGCCCGAGAAGAAACAAAAAAACCAAAGAAGCAAAGAGAGTTGGCAAAATGTTGGTAGTCGACGAGCGCAGAAATGAAGAAGACTTTCTTGTTCCAGAACCGTCTTTAAACTCTTCTTGTCGAATTAAATAAAAGAACATTTTGTTTGTTGTTGTTGTTTTGATGTTGATTTGAACGTTGTTTTGATAACAGCTTTGAAAAAAATATTTGTCGGTAAGGTGTGGAGTGAAGAAAACAAAGCCTTTTATAGTATTTTAAAAGTTGGCGTTCTGTTGCTCTTTCTCTGGTGACAGTCTTTCTTTTTTCGTAATCCTATTTTGAACTGTTTCCGACAAATACGAACAGACTCGTGAATTAGGTATATATTTTGACTTCTGAGTATATTTAGACGGATTAGGATTTGGCTAATCCAACTTGATCCACCTCATCCAATCAGTAACATTTATTTTTTAGAAATATTGAAGCATTTAGTTTCGATTATGTATACTGCTCGGTATAGGTTAAATAACCACGAACCATTTTCTTATGTTACTGGCCCCGGTGGTTTCCATTTTTTATCAACAATATGTGATGAAGCTTTCTGACCTTACACTGACCTACAGAATTTACTGTAGGTTAATGCTTTAATCTCAATGTTTTAACGATGTTTAAAATTTTTTTCTAAAGGCAATGAGAAAATTTGATGTTGAGAGCCTTCCGATGCTGAGAGCTTTCATTTTTGGCTTTATCAAGAGGTAAAATTTTTTTAAATTATTTTTTTACAAATTATCTCACTCATTTTTATTAAAATTAAGTAAATATTTTTAATTATTTTCAAAAATTTCTTTTTTTACTATTTTTACGCGCACAGTAAAAATAGTGCAAATAGAAAATATCAACAAAATAAAGAGATAAATTAAAATATAAATTGATTGAAAATAAAAAAAAAGAAAATTCTATTTAGCGATGATTAATTGTTATTGGCAGCCTCCCCTTCTTTTGTAAGTGCTCAACTTTTAAATTGTTAAACAATACCCAAAAAATTTTAAAATAATGCTCAAAACTTGAATTTAATTTCTTCAGAAAATAAGACGTTTATTTTTATTTCCAAGTTTATTTTCTGATTTTAAGTTTATTTTGTTTGTATTTAATTCTGGTGTTATTTCTGTATTTGTATGTGTTTTTGTTTTAATTGTCTGTGTTTTTAATTCTGATTTTTGTATTTTTTTTAAATTTATAATTCTGATTTTTGTGTTTTTGTGTTTTCCTCCCTTTTATTTTTTCTTTTTTAAATTCTGATTTTTATTAATTCTGATTTTTGTGTTTTATTTTCCAAATTTATAATTCTGATTTTGTGTTTCTGTGTTTTCCTCCTTTTATTCTGTAAAGCATATAGCTATTAATTTCATAAGGCTGAGTAGTAGGCGGCGTGGTGTAATGGCTAACACATCAGTCCGGTCAACTGAAGATGCTGGTTCGCTCCCAGCCGCCGAATAACCTTTTGCTCTAGCTAAAGGAGAGTAATAGCTATAGCCCAGCTGCTTTACTATTCCTCTTTTAAATTCTGATTTATATTAATTCTGATTTTTGTGTTTTATTTTCCAAATTTATAATTCTGATTTTGTGTTTCTGTGTTTTTGATTTTTATTATGTAATTCTGACTTTTGTATTTTATTTTTAATTCTGATTTTTGTATTTTTGTTTTTCCCTCCCTTTCGTCTTTTAAATTCTGATTTTTGTATTTTGTCATTAAATATTCTGATTTAGTTCTGATTTATTATTTTATAATTTTGTTTTTTTATTTTCAATCAGAATTTCATGGGGGTCTATCCAATATTTCCGTTGTACACTTTATTTCCTTTTCTTGTTTTATTATTATTTATATCAACACCCTTTTGTGATTGCTTCCGTACACAATCCGCAGGCGTAAGGGGAACTTTAATGTGTGGAGGTGGAATTAAATTTAACTAAAAAAATTTATTTTATTTTAAAAATTTCAGAGAAACCGTTAGCAGATACAAAGGTTAGAAAGGGAAAAAGATTTGTGAAAAAAATTTATTTAAAATAAAAAACAATTTTTCAAGATAAAATTGTATGACCATGATAGAGGTAATTAATTATATTTTCTTTTAGTTTTAAAGTTTTCTCTCTAATTGATTGACCCTTCGATTTTAGTGCCTCTAATCGTATAGAAATTTTTGAGAGGCTCTCTATTAGAACGAAAGCCCTTCTATTAGAGAGAATATGATAATACATTTAAATTAATCCTTCATTTATAGGGCCTGACCTGGATGGTAAAATAAAAATTATCTGTTTTAATAATTCAAAAATGCTACACAGATTTAATGGCAACAACAAAAACAGATGCACGGGGTAGATTCCAGTTAAGTGGGAAAACAACAGAATTAACCACAATTGATGTACAGTTGAGGATTTTTCATGACTGTGACGACGGTAGTTAATTTTTGAAGTTTATCTTCTGGTTTTATTAAATTCTGATTTTCAATTTAATTTCTGATTTTATTTATTCAAAGCTTTAATTCTGATTTTTATTAAAGTTTGTTTTCTTGTTTCAGTATTCTGGTTTTATTCGTTTATTTTCTGATTTTAATTTCTGACGTTTTAAATTTCTGATTTTTATTTCTGATTTTATTAAAAGTCTATTTCTTCTCAAGCTTATTTTCTGATTTATTAAATTCTGATTTTCAATTTAATTTCTGATTTTTTAACTTCTGATCTTTTAAATTCTGATTTAAATTCTGATTTTTTAAATTCTGATTTTCAATTTAATTTCTGATTTTTAATTCTGATTTTATTCAAGTTTATTTTCTGATTTCCTTACTCCAAGTTTATTTTCTGCTTTAATTTCACCTCCAGTTTTATTTGTTTTATTAAAATTTCTGATTTATTTAAAAATTCTGTTGTTTATTCTTTCAAGTTTATTTTCTGATTTTTAAATTCTGATTTTAATTAATATTTTTTAAGGAATAATGCCCTGTCAACGAAAAGTAACTTTTAACATTCCCGACTCTTTTGTAACCAATGGAGCTGTACCTTCCAAATTTTTTAATATTGGAACTATTAATATGCAAATTGTTTTTGAAAATGAAGCTAGATCTTGTATTAATTAAAAAAATAAAGGAAAAATTTTTTTTATTTTTTAAAATTTTTTATAAAAAAATATATGTTTAGTACAGTGTAGAAAAAAATTAAAATAAATTTGTAAATTTTACAAGATAAATTACATATACTATGTACATTGTCTATTTAAAAATGAACTAAACTTTTACCCATATTAAGACTATTTTTTAAATTAAGAAGTCTTTATTTAACTTGAATATCAAATAAAAAAATCTTAGCATGTGGAAATCCATTATATAAATAATATACAAAATGAGATCAAATTTTAAAATATTTTTAAAAAATTAAAAATATCAATTTTAAATATCTTCCTGTTTGTTGTGCCATCTTAAAATAGTTTTGTAGAATTTTGATTTTTTGAAGGCATTATTATTTAAAAGAAATCGAAAGAGCTAAAAAGAACATTTAATTCTGGTTTTGAATTATAATTTCTGTATTTTTATTCTGATTTTGTATTTTTATATTGAATCAGAATTTAGTTTAAAAATAGATATAAAACTAAAATACAAAATCAGAATTAAATTGTAAAATTAAAATAAAAATTCTGATTTTCTGATAAAATTCTGAAGAAAATTCTGATCTTCCGATAAAATTTAGAGAAAAAGTTCTGATTTTTTCGAAGAAAATTCTGAAAAAAATTCTGATTTCTGATAAAATTCTGAAAAAAAATTCTGATTTTTGATAAAATTTTTGAAACAAATTCTGATTTTATATTTTATTTTAATTTAATTCTGATATTTGTTTTTTTTTCTATTAATTTTAATTTTTTTTATTCTGATTATTTAATTGTATAATTCTGATTTTTATTTCTTTTTTTAAAGATTTTGTTTACCTTAAAAATCAAAAATAATTTTTTAAAATAACCTACAATATTCAAAAACACAAAAACAACCCCCACAATTACAATCACAATCCACCACCAAAAATTTTGTGAAGAAGGCGGGGTTAATTGGAAAAAGTTGCGCAATCCAGGCAAATAAATAAATAAAAACAATAACAAAATGTTGAATAAAAATATACAAATCCATAAAATAATTAATTTTAGGCTGAAATAAAATTAACGATTTAAATATTTTTTAAATTCTGATTTTTTTATTCGAGTAATTCTGATTTTTATATTTTTTTTTAAATTCTGAAAATTAAATTCTGAAATAAAAATCAGAATTAAAAATAATTCTGACGTGTGTATTTTTATTTAATTCTGATTTTTGTATTTTTTTAATTCTGGTATTTGTGTTTTCTTTTAATTCTGATTTTTATTTGTTGTTTAAAATTCTGGTTTTTGTATTTTCAGGAAATAATTTAATTCTGACTTGTGTTTTTCCGTTAGGGTTTATTTAAATTCTGATTTTTTTATTATTCGGGTAATTCTGATTTTTGTATTTCATTTTTAAATTCTGATATCCGTGTTTTTACATTCAGAATTACAAAATAAAAATCAGAATTAAAAATAATTCTGACGTGTAAATTTTATTCTGATTTTTGTATTTTTTTTAAATTCTGGTATTTGTATTTTTGTTCACTTTTAATTCTGATTTTTATTCGTTATTTAAAATTTTGGTTTTTGTATTTTCCGAAAACATTTTAAATTCTGACTTGTGTTTTTCCGTTAAGATTTATTTAAATTCTGATTTTTGTATTTTTAAATTCTGGTATTTACCTATTTGTATTTGTGTTCACTTTTTATTCTGATTTTTATTTGTTATCTAAAATTCTGGTTTTTTGTATTTCTCGGAAACCTTTTAAATTCTGACTTGTGTTTTTCCATTAAAATTTATTTAAATTCTGATTTTTGTATTTTCTTTCAAAAACACATTTTTCCAACCTTTTCAGAACATTCCCACAAAGCACATTAGTAAACCCAATACAAATCAGAATATGTAAATGTTGGGTAAAAAGTAAAGTAAAAAGCCAAATTGTAGAGGCCTCATTAAGGTTTAATTGTTGTCGTAAAATTGTTGAAGAAATTGTAGAATTAATCGGGAAAAAAGAAAAAAATTCTTTAACATCATTATTGGGTTCTAAATAAATATTTTGGGAATATAAAGTATTCCAATAATTAAATAATGAAGAAAATGCAAGCAATGGACTAGCCAATATTAAATTAAAATAAATTGTAGGTAGAGAATGTTGGTAGTTATTTAACTTTAAAAATATTTTTTTAAATAATTAATTTTTGATTTTTAAAAAATTCTGAATTAATTTCTGATTTTAAAAATTCTGGTTTTGATTCTGATTCTAAATTGATTTATATTTTTACATATTCTGATTTCCGATTCGGTTCTGATTCTGAATTTGATTCTGATTTAAAAAAAGTTCTGATCTTTTTCTGACTGAAAATTCTGGTTTTGAATTAATTTGGGATTTTCAAAATTCTGATTTTTGATTAATTACATGAAAAAAAATTCTTTTTCTTACATCAAAAGGAGTAAAAGCAAATCCAATACAATATTGTAATTGGAAGAGAAAAGCAACTAACACAATCTAAAAAATATTTAAAAATTCAAAAATTAAATAAAAATTACATGTATTGGTAAAATTATTGGTGGTATGTCGGATAATGGGCTGAGAAGAAAAGGTAATAAAATAGCTGGCGCCTGGGAAAGTGTCAAAGACAATGACCTGAAATTAAAAAAATTATTTAAGAAAGATTAAAAATAAAATAAAAATCAGAATTAAAATAAAAAATCAGAAATCGAAAGAAAACACAAAAATTAATAAAATCAGAATTAAAAGGGGAAACAAAATCAGAATTTTAAACAAACAAAAACAATGAATTAAACCAGAAGAAAAACACAAAATTAATTAAAATCAGAACAAAACCAGAACAAAAGATAAACAATAAATAAATAAAATCAGAATTAAAAACAAACAAATTCAGAATAAAAAGAAAAACACAACAAAATTAATTAAAATCAGAACAAAAACAGAACAGAAGATAAACAAAATAAAATCAGAAATTAAAACAAACATATTCAAAATAAAAAGAAAACACAACAAAATAAATAAAATCAGAAATATGTAAAAATAAACAAAATCAGAATTAAAAGAAAACACAAAACACAATTAATTAAAATCAGAATTAAAATCAGAACAAAACACATTAATTACCTAATTAAATTTATTTTCATCCCAACTCCAAATTCTTTTATTCCAACAATTAATTTAACTAAACCACTTCCATCTTCCAAACATTTAATTAAAACATCAAAAGAATTGAAGGAATAATTGTTAAGTTTATTAGAATAATTAATTATTCCAACACTTAAATTTGCTTGTTTAATTGCCTGACTTTCGTTTATTGAATTTTGGACATCTCCAACAAAGGTGACTTTATGGCCAATTAATTGGAGTTCCTAAAAGAGTATTTTTGTATTTTTGTGTTTTTGTATTTTTTTGTGTTTTTGTATTTTTTTGTGTTTTTGTATTTTTTGTGTTTTTGTATTTTTTCTTGTATTTTTGTGTTTTTTGTATTTTCGATGTATTTTTGTGTTTTTTTTTTTGTGTTTTTTTGTATTTTTGTATTTTCGATGTATTTTTGTGTTTTTGTATTTTTGTATTTTTTGTGTTTTTGTATTTTCTGTCTTTTTGTGTTTTTTTGTGTTTTATGCATTTTCCTTGTATTGTTCGTGCTCTTATTTTTAAATTATTATACATAAATTAAAATACCTTAATAATTAAAGTAATTTGTTCACATGACAATTTGCTAAAGCTTAGAGGAAATTTATTTTTTACAAAATTATTTTTATTTGAATTGAATTGTTCAGCAAGTAAATGTTGTATTTCCTTTGTAGACATTTGTGAAAAGGATTCGCCTTTAAAAATTGAATTTTTAATTTATATTTTAAATATTTTTGTATTTTATTTGTCGTTAGATTTTTGTATTTTTTAAAATAAATTCTGATTTTCTGTAATTCTGTATTTGTGTTTTTCTGTATTTTTAATAAAAATCAGAATTTAAAAATCAGAATTTAAAAATCAGAATTTAAAAATCAGAATTGTTAATATAATTCTGGTGTTGTATTTTTTAATTCTGATTTTGTATTATATTTATAGCAATAATTCTGATTTTAATTAAATCAGAATTATTTGTGTTTTTGTTTTGATTATAAATTCTGATTTTTATAATTTTTGTATTTTGTTGATGTTTTATTTTTAGGATTTAATTCTGATTTTGTATTTCCAGAATTAATTCTGTTAGTTATTAAATCAGAATTTTTGTTCTAATTTTTATTTTTTTACCATCAATCGGCCACTTAATATTTTCTTCTTCAAAAACATCCAATTTTTCTTTACCATTTCTATTAATTATTTTATTATTCATTTTAGAATTAAATAATGTTGTAGATGTAGATATCGATGTTGTTGTGGATGTTGAAACAAAATCAACATTTTTTCGATTTTTTAAACGACGCAAAAGTTGATTTTGAAGTTGGTGAAGAAATGAATTTTCCTATAAATTATTTAATAAATTAATAACGCTGAAGAATATTAATCTCAAAATATTTGTGAATACATTTAAAAATCAGAATTTAAAAATAAAAAATCAGAATATAAAAATTCGGAAAAAATCAGAATTAAAAAGTTAGAATAAAATAATCAGAATTTATAACAAAAACACAAAATCAGAATTTTAAAAAATACAAAAATCAGAATTTTTAAATAAACACAAAATCAGAATTTTAAAAAATACAAAATCAGAATTTCTAAATAAACACAAAATCAGAATTTTAAAAAATACAAAAATCAGAATTTCTAAATAAACACAAAATCAGAATTTTAAAAAATACAAAATCAGAATTTCTAAATAAACAAAAAATCAGAATTTTAAAAAATACAAAAATCAGAATTTCTAAATAAACACAAAATCAGAATTTTAAAAAATACAAAAATCAGAACAAAAATCAGAATAAATAAACACAAAACCAGAATTAATAGTAAACACAACAATTAATCAACTAAAAAATACAAAAAAAAAAAACAAAAAAAAATTAAAATCAGAATAATTTACCTTATTATTTTCATTATTTCCTCTCTCCATATTATTTTGAGAATTTTCAATTTTAGCTGTTCCGTTTCCAATAATAAAAGGGCAATTATTGAATATGTTGTTGTTAATTAATTTTTGGGGTCCTTTAAATAAAATAAAAAATTTTTTTTAATTTATTTTCCAACTTTTTTCATTTAATTCCATTATTTTAGCAATTAATAATGCTGGATGTTCATCTCCTATAAAAATAATTTTTGGGCCATTTTCAATTAATTTATCCAATTTATTTAAATATTTAATATTTAAAGGAGCATCTTCAAAAGCAAATAATCCAACAAAACAAAAATTTTTATTTTTTAATTTATTTTTGTTGTTATTGTTATTAATTGGTGGGGGTGTTGAATTAACTGCTAGGGCCAGACAGCGTTTTCGTTGGACACAAAAACGGAGAAATTGTTCCTAAAATATTTAATTTTTGATTTTTTAAAATTTTACTAAAATAAAAAAAAAATTTTTTTTTGTTAAAATTTTTTTATCAATTAAATTATTTTACTGCTAAGTAACGTTTATTCCCAAAGTCAAAAATAAACTTGACTAAAATAAACTTATAAGCCTGAAATTTTGTAATTAGAAACCTAACACTGTTAACTTGATATTCTGAAAATTTCAGAATTTTTAATTGAATATTCTTAAATTTATGTCAGAATAATCAACAGAAAACGGCATTTTTCTGGGAGTACGTACACATTTTCAACCAGAACTTGGGAAATACATAACCAAAAATTCTGAAATTTTTAGGAAAGCTAGTTTACTATAGTAGCTAGATTACTGCAAAATTTCATTATTATAGGACAAAAATTGATAATTCTATAAATTCGCATAGAAACGTGTACCTGCACCTTAAGAGCTGGGAAAAATAAAACCAGAATTAATTCTAAAATTTTTTTTGATTTCTTTTCAATTTTTAAAATTCAAAAAGATTCACTTCAAATTCCATCAAATGTTCTTCTCTTAAATCAACAAAATTATTCTCATTATCCAAATTATTAGTTTCATTATTTTCTTCTTTAATAAATGAACACATTCCAAAAATTTCTTCTGGAGGACCAATTAAAACAATTTTATTTTCTTCATTTAAGCATTCATCTATTGATATTCCTAATTCTTTGGTATACTAAAAACATACAAAATTAAATTTTAATTTTAAAAAATTAAAAGCTTTAGGCAAAACCCTCGGTCTTAATTTTCCTTCCAATAACGATAAATTTAAAAAAATAACAGGTCCCTAATATTATTCTTCCACCAAAATCAACCCTTCTCTGGTCAATAAAAAATAAAATTTTTAAGAAATACCCACCTTAAGTAAAGCGGAATATTCAGGTTTTAATTGAGTATAATCATAATCATTAATTTTATTATTTTCCAAAGGGAAATCTTTCAAAATTGCAGAGACTCCCATTTTTATAAATTTAATAATTTGGTTATCCAGATATTTTGGGAAAGTCTGGAAATTTTAATTTTTGTGTTTAAACTTTAATTTTTCCCAAACCCTTGTGGAAATGTGCCGATTATTTTTTTCACTAACCATCCAAATATCTGAGAGGAAAGGCTGATTTCCTCCTAATAATGAGTTACTATGGATCTGTTAAAAAATTATAAAAAATTATTAAAATATTCCCATATTTATAAATTTAATAGGGACCTTAAACCAGGACCTTAAAACTTTTGAGGCTGAAAAATAAGAAAAATTGTACCTTATAATGAAATGAATTTTAAATAGAGAGTATCGCTTACACTACAATTACATAAAATAGCATCGCGCTTTTCGATTTGTATATTAATACTGAATATAACTGATTTTATGTAAACATATAACAGGGTTTGCCGAGTACCTTCTCAAGATGGCGCGATTTTTATGAAATACTTAATTTATGTAAATACTTAATTTATTTTTAGCTAACCAAATCAACTCTTAATCTTATGTTATTTAGTATTTGGTGTATATTAGAGCTGTCTGATACCGAAAATTTTACAAGACTCAAGACCAAAAGTCTCTTGGACTGCTCTAGTGTAAATTATAGTGAGTCAAATTCTCCATTTAATCCACCGTAGGCGAAAATTAACCGGCCGTTAACGCCAACAATATTAAGGATTAAAGTTGCTGAAAACAACCTTTTGATAAGGTTGTGAGTCTAATTAATTATTTAAAAATTTAAATAAACCCACAATTAAAATGCAATCATTTCCCATTATTCCCCCTCCATTTAAAAAACAATTTTTATTTTGTTGTTTTTTAATAAATCTAAATTCTGTTGGATTGTTTTTCTCTTTATTACAAGCAAGATAACGTTGACAGTACCATTGTCTAATTAATAAAGTTAAGGGTAAAGCATAGGGAAGTGTAGAGATGAGTAGATCAATAAACGTACAAACAAAAGGAATTAATAATTGGATTGAGTTGTGGTACCAGTTGGCTACAAAATAAAAATTGAATTAGTAAATATACACCGTATATCCTATAATCTATTGAAAGTAGTAACCGGCAAATTTGAATTTCCTAGATTCCGGATTTGCCGGATCCGGCTGGGTTTTTCGGATTAATCCGGTCCAGAAAAAATCTATTATTGCGAAAAAAAAACCCCGGGTTTGGGACCCGGACTCCGGAAAAATCTGGCCGGATCCGGTTCGGTCACTAATTGAAAGCTCAAGGCTTTAATTATAGAGTTGGCCGGTATCGGGATCCCGACCGGTATCGGGCGGTATTATACCGGTTTTTTTGAATCCCGATACCGATTTTTTTGATACCGACACCGAAAGACAAATCCCGATACCGTTTTTGCTGATACCGAAACCGAGGCCGGTATCGGTATCGGGATTAGCGTCGGATACCGATACCGGCCAACTCTATTTAATTAGAGCATTTAAAGAAGTATGTAATAATTCTTATATGAATTTAACATATTTAAGATTTAATGTACCGGATATTTTTAGTCTTGTTCAATCAAGAACTTGTTAAGCTTAAATGATATATTTTTCTAATTGATGGACACTGATGGCTTGAAGATGATTAACCGGAAGTTGAAGGGATAAAAGAAAAATAGGACGGCCGGCAATTCAATTAGATACAGTACACTATTTTTTAACCCTACAAATTATCAAATTCTCTTACTTTTATTATTCTGAATATCATTCGAAGGCAACAACAATAACAAAGAATAACCAAAAGCTAAAGAAGCAATCAACGAGCATAAAGCAGCTATACAAACAATTGGCCACCCAAACAATAATTTTAATTTATTTTTATTTTTATTAAATCCCTCTTCCTTTTTATTATTATTTTCCTTAGTTAATGTAGTTGATGTTAAATAATAGGGAGGGGGAGGGATATTTTTAATTGTTGTTTTGTTTGGTGTTTTAGAATTAAGTTTTGATAGAAGCTAAAAAGAGTTGTGTTTTTATTGGAAAATTTAAAATTCTGATTTTTGTATTTTTAATTGTTCTGATTTTTGTGTTTCATTTGTTCTGATTTGTATTTTTAATTGTAATTCTGATTTTTGTGTTTCATTTGTTCTGATTTGTATTTTTAATTGTAATTCTGATTTTTGTGTTTCATTTGTTCTGATTTGTATTTTAAAAATTAAAACCTATTGTAATACAAAATTCTGATTTTTGTATTTTATTTATTAATTCTGATTTCCCATTTTAGATTTAATTCTGATTCTTAATTCTGATTTTGTATTTTTAGTTAAACCAGAACGTTTTAATTTTAAAATTCTGATTATTTTATTTTTATTCTGATTTTTGTATTTTTAATTGTAATTCTGATTTTTATTTATTCATTTGTTCTGATTTGTATTTTTTAAATTAAAACATGTTATTGTAATTTAAAATTCTGATTTTTGTATTTTATATTAATTCTGTTTGTATTGCTGTAATTAATTTTAAAATTCTGATTCTTATGTCTCTATTTTAATTCTGATTTTTATATAGGTATTTTCAATTAAAATAATAATCTACCGTTTCCTCTCTAGTTCTTAAAACAATACAAAAAGCCTCCCCATTTAAACATTTAAAACCAGCAAAAGCTATATTTCTTGCTTCAAGGACATTTAAATGATTTGGTGATGTTTTTGATATTAATTCTATTATCATATTATTTTGTTCTATATTTTGTTGTTGTTGAAGAATACAACTTTGGTTAACAAGAAAAGGTTCTTTCAAAACTTGCTGAAAATGGAGGGAATTTGTGTTTTTTGTATTTTTTGATTTTTGTGTTTTCTGTATTTTTGTGTTTTTGTATTTTTTTCTGTTTTTGTATTTTTTGGTTTTTGTATTTTTTGTTTATATTATTTTTGTATTTTCTGTATTTTTTGTGTTTGCGTACTTTTGTGTTTTTGTATTTCTGTTTATTGTATTTTTTGTGTTTTTTCGTATTTTTGGAATTTGTATTTTTTATATTGTGTTTTTCGTATTTTTTTTCTTTTTTGTATTTTTTTTGTGTTTTTGTATTTTCTGTATTTTTTGTATTTTTTTGTATTTTTTGTGTTTTTGTATTTCTGTTTTCTGATTTAGTTCTCATTTCTGTATTTTAATAATTTAACTAACCAAAATTCTACAATCAACAGGCACTCTCTGTCCACTCTTTAATTTAATTAAATCTCCAGGCAAAATTTCTTTTTCAGATATTTTCACTTCCACACCCCCACGTTGTGCTATATAATATTCACATAAACGCTTGGATGATTTTTTTAATTTTTCAGAATTTAAATTAATTAAATATTTAAAAGGATTAAAAATCTTTGAGAGAACAAAAATTCCAAATAAAAATAAAATTTGAATTAGTAAAACGGAAATTATTGAAGAAATTATTGGTTGAGTAAAGAAATGTTGCATTTGTTGTAGTTGTTGTTTGTTTGTTGTTGTTGTTCTGATAAATGTATGTATTTTTAATTAATTAATACTAGTTATTCTGAATTTTTATTCTGGTATTTTATCTTTTGTGTTTCATGTTTCTTTTACTCAAATTCTGATTTTTGTATTTTTTGTGTTTTGTCTATTTTAATTCTGATTTTTGTATTTTAGCATTTAATTTAAAATTCTGATTTTTGTATTTCACTCTAGGTAAATTAAAATAATTCTGATATTCTGATTTGTTATTTTTGTGTTTTATCTTTTGTATTTCTGATTTTGTATTTTTTTATTAATTCTGATTCTTTCTCTCTATTTATTTTGTATTTTTTACTACAATTTAATATTCTGATTTTTGTATTTCACTCTTAATAAATTAAAATAATTCTGATTATTCTGATTTATGTATTTCTCATGTCTTTCTGTTTTTTTATTTTCTGATTTTTGTATTTCTGTCACTCGAGTAATTAATTCTGATTCTGAATTTGATATTTCTGATATTTTGTGTTTTTGTATTTTACTTTAAAAACACGCATAATTCCCCAACTTACATATTAAATTCTTTATTTATTCCATTTTCTTTTTCAAAATCACAAAATAAAGAAAATAAAAGAATTAAAAAATAAACAATGATGGAAATTAATAAAATTAATTGAAATGGATTTTGAAGAATATTTAAATTAAAAGGTTTTGTTGTTTTATTGCGCAACTTTAACAAACGTTGTTTTCTTCTAAACTTTATTTTATCTTCCAAACGAAGTTGGGCTTCTTCCTTTAAAATAAATATTTTTTCTAATTTTGTGTTTTTTTGTATTGTGTTTTTGTATTTTTGTGTATTTTTTGTGTTTTTGTATTTTTGTATTTTTCTGTGTTTTTTGTATTTTTGTGTTTTTTGTATTTTTTGTGTTTTTGTATTTTTTGTGTTTTTTGTATTTTGTGTTTCTTGTATTTTTGTATTTTTTGTATTTTTCTGTGTTTTTGTATTTCTAAATTTTATTTTGTTTTTTTAATTTATTAAAGACCTGTGACATTCCGCGACTTGATAGTACATTTTCAGGGCAAATCCTTGCCAATGGGAATAAATCCGCCAGCTGACTGGGGGTTAGTGCATGTTCTGTGCACTGACGGAGTAATAACTGTAAAAATTCTAGAGATTTTTTTATAATTATTTTCTGTGTTTTTCTTGTTCCTGTCTTTTTGTATTTTGTTTTTTTTTGTATTTTGTGTATTTTCGTGTTTTTTATGGTCTCGTATTTTTGTGTTTTTTGTGTTTTCTTATTTTCCCATTTTAATTTTAAATTTATTTTTTTCCAAACCTCAAGTTGATCTATTTTCACTGCCTTATTTTCCTTCTTATCCCTCTCTTCATTAAAAACAAATATTTTATTTTTATTCAAAAAATTATTCCAAAGCATTTCTAAATTATAAAAAATATTTTTTTAATTAATTTTTACGGAAACAAAAAAAAATAAATAATTGGTTAGGACAGCGTAAATTAAGTGTAAATTTATTTTAATAAAATAATTGTGAGTGAGAGAACAATTGAATTGAGACGAAACAAAAAATAATAACAATTTTAGAGCGGGATTATTAAATAAAAATGGGAAAGAAAAAATGAGAAGAAAGGGGGAGGGAAATTAGATAATTTTAAAAAAATGTCCTATTAGTCTATAAAATCCAAAAATTTATAAAAAAAATTTTTAGGAATTTTTGGAGCAGGCCAGTGTATCGGAGTCCAATGTACCGCTGAGTTATAACTTGGTTGAAAATTTTTTTCCATACTCAGTTGTATCATAAAGAGATGGGGCATTGCTTAGGGAATATCAAATAGCTAGTCAAATTTAACAAAACGTTGAGATTGAATTGAAAGTTTTCTTGAAAGGTGTATATCTATCTTATAATATTTGTGTTTTAAATAAAAAAATTTTATTGAAAAAAATTTTTTTGGGAGAAAATAGGAAAATACGGTCGAAATTAAATATAAAATATACCCTGAATTTATCTTACCTACATATATATTCTTACATTAAAAATATTAATTAAATTAAAACATTAATTTAATTACTTCCTTGTCTACTCGTCAAACATTTAATTAAATTTTTGATTAATTATGAAACAAAAAAATAAAAAGAAAATTAAAAACAAAATAAGTTAAAAATATTTTTTCTACTTTTAACATTTTAATTTTAAATTAAAAAATAAATTTTTTTAATTATTTTTTGTTACTAAATTTAATTAAAATGGCATATGATTCAATTAAAAATTAAAAATAGGTAGAGGTATTTTTATCTATTTTTGGTTAATTTATTTTTTATAAAAATTTTTTTTAATTAAAAAAAATAAATTAATTAAAACACAAAAAATTCTTCCCATTTTAGCTTCCTTTTTTTGATAATTGATAAAAAAATATTTATTTTTTAAAAGAGAGGAAAGGAGAAAAGCACGCGCGTAATTATATTTTTTAACAAAATTTGAAAGTAAAAAAGAAAAAAATAAATTTAAACATAAATCGGTGCTTCGAGCAAGGTTTTTTATTTTACATTTTGGTTCTTTACATTTTGAGAAAATAAAAAAAAGAAGAAAATAAATACAAAAATAAATAAAATACAAAAATCAGAATTAAAATACAACCTTTTACAAATCAGAATTATTTTATAATAAAATCAGAATTGTTAATTCTGATTTTTATTCTGATTTAATTCTGCTCAAAAATTCTGTTTATTATTTTTTTATTCTGATTATTTCTGATTTATTTTATTTATTAATTCTGATTATTAATTCAAAATCAGAATTATTGTTTATTTATAAAAATAATTCTGATTTGTTTTCTGAACATTTTACAAATCAGAATTTTGTAAAATAAAAAAATTAAATCAGAATTAATAATTAATTTCCAGAATTATTTATTCTGAATTAATTCAGAATTATTAAGTAATTACTAATTAAATCAGAATAATTATTTCAGAATTATTTATTTCTGAATTATAATATTAATTTTGATTTGTAAAATAATTTCAGAATTATTTTACAAACCAGAATTAAAAATATATAGTATTCAGAATAAATAATTACAAATCAGAATTACTAGTATTAATCAGAATTACACCCACAACTAAATTAATAAAATCAGAATTTTAATTTTAATTTTTACAAATCAGAATTATTTTTAATAACAACTAATTCCCTAGCCTTTTTAAAGTCCAAAAATTAAATTTAAAAAAATTCAAAAAAATTTTTTGTATTTTTCAGGGTTATCTTAAAAATAAAAGAGGAAAATAGCCTTGAAAAATATTTAAATAAAAAAATAAAAAATCAAAAGAAATTTTCTTTTTTGGCAATTTTATTAGTACAATTAAACTAATCAAAAAAATATTTTTATTAAAATAAATGAACAGTTTTTTATTGAATTTTTATTTAAAAATTCTCTTTAAAATTGATAACATTAATTAAGTATGACAACACAAAGTTCAAACAAAAATTTAAAAAAAATTCTTAAAAAGTGACAAAAAAAAATAAATATAAAAAAATTTCTCTCAACGTGATTATAAATTTAAAAAAATTTTTCAAAAATATTCTGTGTGGAAAAGAGGAAGGAATTTATTCAAAAATAATAACATAAAATCAGAATTTTTTTTCCAATTCTTGATTTATTGAGTAAACCACAGAGTACAAAATAAATATTTATTTTTAATTTAAAAAACTGAAAACTATGAAGAATTGTAAAATTGTAGCAAGTATCTTTTAAGGGGGAGCAAGTCAGAACCTTTATATTTTAATTCAAAAATAATAAATTGGTAAATGTCTATGTATACCTCGTCGTCCCCATGTCTGTAAAAGGCATTCTGCCTAAAATAATTTTTTGCTGCATTCAACTCTTTTTCCTTTCTCCCAGAGGTGAATCGGGAATGACGAAGGTGTCGGAAATCGGAAATTTTTCCAAAATTTCGGAAATCGGAAATTGGAATCTCGATTCACCTATGCTTTCTTCTTTAATTTCCCTCGGATTATCAAGAATCATTGGTTGAACTTTTAGCGCAGCAGAGGGAATGGACCATGTATTTATGTTGAAATTTACTTAATAAAATCAGAATTAAAATTTAATTCTTGCTACAAAAAATTTTTTAAAAGGATTTTAAAATATTCTTTTAAATAAAAAATTATTTTTTTATTCGAGAGAATTTTTAGGAAGGGATAATATACATAAATACAATTCTTCTCCAATGACCACCCATGCAGAACGGAAATTTTAAAAGAGGATTTTTTAATTGTACTAGTAAAAAGGATACAAAACTCGTATTAAATTTATTTAAATGATATCACTCTTAAACTTTCAGAAAAAATATTTTTTAGAAAATTAAAAAATATTTTTTTAGAAAATTAAGACTAGGTATCTCTTGGAATAAGGGAGAGAGAAGTGTCGTTTACCGTATTTTCTCGATTAATACCCCACTCCTGATTAATACTCCATCCCAGAAATGGACTGTAATAATAATTCCCCACCCTTAAATAATTCCCCACTCTCTCAATCCCCATGGGGAATTAATTGAGAAAATACGGTAAGCAGTATTTAACCTCACGCTTGGAGGGGTAATTAACCGAGAGAGGACAATTATTCGATTCGAGAAGGGTAATTGATAGTGGCTATACATTATCTAATTTTAGGTATTGAAAAATGTAGGTTAGACTGTTTTTTTAATTATTAAATTAAAAATATATTTATTTATTTTTAATAAAAAATAAATGAAAAAAAAACAATTTGTACGCAAATATTCTTTCCTCTTTTACTTAATTTATATTCGTCAATCCCCTTATATCAATCCACTCTCTAATATCCTCCCTCTATTTTTCCTTCGGATCCGGTCTTCAATCGCCGCGTTGTCGAAGGGAAAGGAAGGAGAGATGAGCGTTCATAATCACAAATCGCGCACTCAACAATAATCAAAAAATAAAAGAGGAGGTGGACTAAACAATGAAAAAAATAAATTGGAAGGAAAAAAGAGAGAGAAAGGAGATTAGCACCGGAAGAAAAAATTTATTTAAAAAATAAAGGAAATAAATAAAATAAATTTTATTTAAATGGGAGGGAAGAGGTGAAGGGGGAGGGGAATTTAAAGAAAAGAAAAATTTTAAAAAAATTTTTAAATAAAAGAAAAATGCAAAAGAAAAATAAAAGGTGATTTTTCAAATGAAAATAACAATTAAAAAAGTTTTAAAAAATTTACAAAGGTGATTCATCCAAGTTGCCAAAAGTAATTGTGAAAGAAAGAAACAAAAACAGAAAGAACAATGAATAAATGAATAAATAGAAAATACAAAAATCAGAATTTAATAAAAATTAATTAAAAATACAAAAATACAACTTTTTATAAATCAGAATTATTTTTAGAAAAACAGAATTATTAATTCTGATTTTACTCCGATTAATTTAAATTCTGATTAATTTAGATTCTGATTATTTATTAATTCTGATTATTATTCTAAATCAGAATTATTAATTGTCTATTTGTAAAAATAATTCTGATTTGTTTATTTTACAAATCAGAATATTGTAAAATAAAAAAATTACATCAGAATTATTTAGATAATAAATTAGTGGATAATTATCAAAATTATTTATTCTGAATTAATTCAGCATTATTAATTAATTACTAATTAAATCAGAATAATTATTTCAGAATTATTTATTTCTGAATTTAATCAGAATTATTAATTTTATAAACCAGAATTAAAAATTCTGATATAATTATTATTTCTGAATAAATAATTACAAATCAGAATTATTTTAAATCAGAAATAAATTTAAAATCAGAAATACAATTAATCCAATAAAAATACAATAAAATCAGAATTTTAAAATTTAAAAAGTATAAATAGAAGGGAAAAAGGATTGGGCAATAAAATAACTTTCTAAAATTAAATCGTTTTGACTAAAAATAAAATTAAAAAAATAAATAAACTTTTAAATAAATAAATATTTTTCAGAAACTACTAGAGTAAACAACAATCGCATGCCTCAACAATTTTTTAAAAAAATTTTTTATTTGTTAACATTTTTATTAAATAAATACACATTTTTGAGAGTGAAATAATAAAAAAAAATCATGGAAAATTAGAAAAAAAGGAGAAAAAAGTTTTTTGAAGATGGACAAATGTAAATAAACACACCTTTGTGTTTGGTAAGGAAAAATGTGTAAAAAAGTGAAAATTACTAAAATTGGTTTTTATTTAAAAATTTATTTTTGTAAATATTTTGTCTGACAAAATAAAAAAATATTTTTCTGATTCTATTTTAAAAAATCAGAATTTATTTATAGAAATCAGAATTTTTTTTATAAAAAATCAGAATTTAAAAATTAATTAAGACAATTAAATTATGTAATTGGGATGGTTTGCGACCCACAGGGCCGTTAAACAA